CCGCATAGATACGGGAAAAGCTACAGAAGAAGAAGAAGTCTTTATTTATGTTATAATGGACTGATTGCAAGAGTAATGCAGTAGGTAGTCCAGGTCCTGAAGCATGGGCAAGTAATGTCTCACTGGCGGATGTCAATCAAAAGACACTGAAGCTGGTATTGTGGGAGGAGCCTGTATTTCCCTAAACTTCAGGGTAAGGCCTTTAGAAGCATCAGATGGAGTCTTCGTGTTGGAGGATCCTTCCAGCAGAATGCCTTCTTTCTTGGCTTCACCGCCCTTCATAATCACTACAGGGAGTTTCTCTGAGGTGTAGTTATTGATGCTTGTATAGTTACAGTGTGAACTTCATCTTTGTATTCCCTTTGAATTATTTATTCGATCGAGTACAGAATTGTGCCAAAGGGTTAGGACAAGGTCAAAAATGAGATTTCAGGCTACTTTCAGAGAACAATGGAAGGTAAATCACAAGTGAAAAATCAAAATTTTGTTAATCTTCATATTTAGTACAACAGAAACTTATTGGAAGTTCTTGAATTCAGCAAACAGTTAATATTTTGTGTCCCCCCTTTGTTTCAATAACAGCAGACAGTCTTTCAGGCATTGCTGCAACATATTTAATCAAAGCGTCCTTTGGGATTTTACTACAAATGTCTAATACACTCCCATAAAGTTTCTTTGGGAGGAACTTTTCATTTGTTAAGTTTTGATCTATCAAATTCCAGATCTGCTCAACTGGGTTGAGATCGGGGCTCTGTGGGGGCCATCACATCATTTGAATGACTCCAGCAGCTTCTTTCTTAGCTAAGTATTTTCTGCACAGGTTGGATGGTTGTTTGGGGTCATTATCTTCTTGGTAGTAGAATACTTTACCAATAATACGTAAACTACTGGGTATACCATGACGGATCAGTATCTGATGGCACTTGCGCTGGTCCATTATTCCACCTATTTTGCAAATATCTGTTGTCGTATCAGCATAAAAACATCCCCAACCCATCACACTGCCTCCCCATGTTTCATGGTAGGTGCTGTGCATTGAAGTAAGTATATTTCACCTTTCTTCCGCCGGATGTACAACCTACGCTTTGAACCAAGTATTTGAAACTTGGACTCATCCGTCCATAACATCCTTTTCCAAACATCAACAGTCCAATTTTTGTACTTTTTAGCAATTTCAGTATCATGACAGTATTTGGAGATCGAAGTAAAGGTTTCTAAACTGCTACATGACCAAATATTCCATTCTATTTGAGTCTTCTCGATACTGTAGATCTAGACACGTTTCTGTCATTTGGTACATGGTCGTTTATCTCATGCTTGAGTCTTCCTTCTGTTCCAAAGGCTGCATAAACGATGATACTTAACATCAGGATCATGGAGTTTAGGTGTTCTGTTTCTTCCTATTTTTAAATTTACCTTTCTCGATCTAGGATGCACTTGACGGTGTTTGGGGAGCATTTCAAGTCTGTAGCAATTTGTCAGAGTCCAACCAGCATCAAGTAAAGCTTTTATACAAACTCTCTACTCTGCTTACAATTCTCTGCGATTTTTAGGCCGTGGCATGACAACAAAACTTAATATACAGTGTTAACACTGTTTTTTTTAAATCAAGGTCTATTTGTGGAGTGCTCTTAAATTGATTTATTCTAGCATATACCATATGCTAGCTCCTTTTTATATAGTTAAGATACTGCATGGGGTACCATGACAGTTAGTTCAGACCCTAAGTTTGATCAATACGTTCATTCAAGCAGAGCCCTTATGACATGCCCTTGGTACAAGTATATGACAATTCTAAAGAATTATAAGTATTCTCACCCTGGCTCATCCAATTGTCAACAGGGATCAGTGAAGAATTACCATAGTGTTGAAATATAATTCTTTAATGGCATGGAAGAATTAGCCCCATAAAATTCAAAGAATGACAAAATATTATCTTGTCCTAACACTTTTGCACAGTACTGTATATTTTTTCAAATGTATATTAAAGTTTTATTTGCTAAGTGTTGTGCCATGTAAATGTTATAGTATCTTGTGTTGTTCAGAATTATGGTGCAATTCTATTGTATCACAATAGGTTACAGTTTTAACATTTAAGTTAAGAGCAACTGTGAACAGTCGGAAGATAAGAAATTGAAAAAAAAAAGAGAAAAAAGATTGATATGCAGATGTCGTATACTAAACCTCTTTAAAACTCAAATTTTTGTTTATTCATTTTTTTTCTTAAACATTTTAGTATAGGTTTCTATATTTAATTTGTAATTTCCAAAAGAAGAAAATATTCCAAATTTAAAGTCATTTAACTTACATTAAGGAAATATTTTTCACATTTTTAGCTGTAAGCCCAGGACTTAACTGCCTGTTTGTTGAGCAGGTCTCGGTAGGATGTTTGACATGTCAAACTCTGGTTTCCCTTTCCTGATGGAATTTAGCTAATCAGTTGGATGGAAAATCCTGCTCAAATTTAGGGTTAAACAAAATCCTAAGCAAAGCCAGTTCTCTTGCAGATTTTTGCTGTTAACTCCATTCTGTGTAGAAGTTTTTGCTTCATGTACAGCAACTACACATGTAACAATCAACTTGCAAATAAAATGTATATTTCGACATTTAAACATTTTTGTACTTTCATTTAATTTACATGACAGTAGATCAGCGTTAATTTTAACATTTTCTATCAACCTCATTTCTGCTCGAGTTATATTTATTTATAGTTCGCTTAGAAACTCTGTATTTGTAGTTCTAATTAATTTGTTGGTTTAATGTATACTGATATACCTCCTTATCAATAAGCTCTTGCAGTATATCACCTTGCTCAAAAATGGATAGGACAAATCCAGTTTTACTAGAATAACAACAATCTTTCTATTACAAAGTACAAATGTAGCGCTAGCATTAAACAATGTGTTTGTTGTTTTCGTTAAAATGGACAAAAGTATCAAACTATTTTCATTTACAAACCCTTAAAAACAGTTTTAAAAATAAAATTTTAAGAGTGTAGGTTATAATTATATAAAGTACAATTTTTCAACAACTTTGTGTCACAATAAGATGCCCTATTTACATAACAAAAATAAATGGAAGTAATAACTGATTTTGCTTTATAGCTTTTCTGTTTTTCATAGTTACAATGTAAATTCCAATGATCCTTTTTGTGCAGTGTAATAATAAAATCATATTAGCATATTTACAGAAATGGCAATGAAGTCAACACTAATTTATTAAAATAACACCATATTCGTCAATTGCAGTTTTCAATCTGAACGATACCTCATGTCAGAAAAATGACGAGGTTAGTTCCCTAAGATCTACGTATTATCATCCCTAATTATAAACTATATAAAAGGAAAAGGCAGCCAATCAGTAGCACTCACTGCTACAAGGGCTTTATCTGAATATTAATTGAACAACGGTATATTAAGTTTTGTGCAAACTATTATAAAGTTAGAATGGCGAAACGAAAGTTTCAGTATGGTTTTTTAATTATCTGTAGAGAAAGTCATTTTTTTCTACCTTTAATTGTCTAGAACAACTGAATTGACAGTCATTTTCATAATACGACTCCAGTTAAAAGCATATTTATTCAGTCATATCTCATATCGAACCACAGACCTTGTGATTAGCAACACAACACGAGAACCACAAGGCTAACATTTAGTGAATACGTTGTATAAACGTGATTGCTCTTTTGAACTGGGCAAGTCTTCAACTATAAGTTTTAAATCTGCCTTGCGGGCAACAAATACTATGAAATTATGTGGTAATTTGAGGCAGGCTAAGTTTTTCATCAACTTGGCTTATTGCAAAGTAACACGGTTTACTGATCTAGTTTTATTTGGTGTAATACAATACAGAATTGTTCCCAATTCGTAGTTATCACATATAACATTCAATCCCCGAGAGAAAATTAAGTTTCTCTTGCTGTGTTGGATTTTGGAACTTTAAGTTTGTATTTTATACTTCATCAAGATTAATAGTTAAAAATAGCAACATATCCGAAATGTAGTGCAGAAATTGCTGACATTTTGAATATCTTTAACTGTAACAAAAGAAAGTAAAAGAACATATCAAACGAATGTAAAAGATAAGGTATTTCAAATTACGAACAGGTTTGTGGTATTAAGAGAGAAAAACTTGACAATGTGTCGGTTTGCGCTAAAACAAATTTTATAACTGCATTGTGTTATCTGCGCTTTATCCGCAGCGGTGAATAGAACCCTAGATTTTAGCGTTGTAAGTCTTAAAGTTAAGATTGACCCACTGGAAAACAGACACTAAATACTCAGACCATTCAGGAGTTTCAAACAGTAACTTTATAGATGTTTGTTTGTTTGTAATTAAGCACAAAGCTACACAATGGGCTATATGTGATCTGCCCATCACGGGTATCGAAACCCGGATTCTAGCGTTGTAAGTCCGCTGACATATCTCTGTGCCACTGGGGGGCAACTTTATAGATAAACGTCTTATAACTAAGGATATATATAACGGTTCCCTGCGTTGTTTTCTGTAACTTTCAATATCCCCTTTGGAATTAGTTTTAAAATAAAAATTGAACATTACTCACCTTTCTTACTTTTATAAGCACATCGCAAATAACCATTCTCGGGTGAAATGTGTTTAAAACGCATTATTATCTAATATTTCTGCCAATTTATTACGATATTTTTAACAATAGTCTATTCAAAATGTTTCTATTTTACTATAATTAAAAATGGTGTTATTTTGGGAATGACTGTTGCATTACTATATACTCCAGAAATGGAAACCAACACAATAATTAGGAGTACACATGGTTATATAGGTAATACACAAACCTTTAATTCCAAAGTTTACTGCCAATACAATATACAAAAAATCAACACATCACACTCAACGTTGTTCGCGGCAAAATATTATAAGCCTTAAAATATTCGATAGAGACGTTCTACTTCGAGAAGGCCCCTGGCTGTTTTCAAAATCTCGATAATGCTAACACAACTGTAGGAATGCACACAATTGTGTTACATACGTATAGCTACACACAGATCACACATACGTATATATATATATATATCTATATATAACTTTGGGATCACAATTATTACCCAGGAATAGCTGGTAACGGGCCGAAGGGGTGTATATAGTATTTATCTTCATGAGGAACAAGATGTCCACTTTTTCAGGGCTAACGGGAACAGAACACCTGAGAATAGCAGCAACTTTCACTCTATACGAATGCACTAAAATTAATTTAATTGCAGAATAGATGAATACAGCTAACACTAGATTTAATAAACTTTGGCTGAAAACAGTAAGAAAGGCCACCCGCTACGTGCACCATGGATATATCTCGTGTATGAAGATATATTTATATAATGTAAAACTAACTGAGACCTAACACGGATTCTATACATGACTACATGTCTCACTTTTGTAGTTTGATACAAATCGGGGCTACAATAGCGTAGTCTCTCAATTCTTAAACTTCGCACCACCGAGTTATTTAAACCACATTTCGTTTATTCGGGTACATATAAATGTCACCGTTGTAAGCGAAATTAGAAGTCCTAACTCATTGCTTAAAGTAGAGGTATATTCGTATGAAACTTGTAGAAAAAAAAAGTGCAACAAAAGTTGAATCTTCCATTTTTACTTAAGCCTAGATCACAATTATATCGTTTATTCATTTTTTCTCTTAATGGTAGTCAATTAAAACTATGTTTCACTAACAAGATCATGAATACAATATTCTACCCAAGTCACAAAGAAAACACGTATCTCTTACAACACACCAATCCTTCTTATTTCTATAAATTAAATTATAGCTATCTGGTAATTTCTTTGCCATTAGCATATACCGTTGCAACTTGTTTACGGTATTTTTCATTCAAATTTATCTTCAGTTACTAACGTCAGTGGGTTGATATGATTTTAAACTGGTATCCCATATGCTACATTTTCTTAGTTAGGTGTACCAGTAGCAACTACAATAACACTATTTGCATGCTAAGTAAGCTCATGAGGAACTGCATAACATGCAGTTCATACCTGTCACATTAATTCCGTAGTTCTATGCAAACACGCACACATTTAAATGTTCTGAATTAGGTTCGTAGGATAACGCGGTATGTTAGTTAAAGTGCGTGCAATGAGTTCAAACCAGTTACTAAAAGCAATTTTTAGCACAGTAAAAGTTTTGATAATGAATCCGAAAATTGTCGCAACCGCCAAGTATAACATTGCATTGGAAAGTTAACCACCCAAACAAGAAACAACGATTTAACACAATAAATCACGGCAAGCTACAGGTAATAGTTTTAACACACAAAATGACTAGGAAGATAACACAAGTCTAAGTTATAATACTATCATAGAAACTTGTAACTTTACCACCATAACAGAAACAGTAGCGCAAGATACCTTTAGAAATTATGTTTTCCTGGTGTTTTGTACATGATTGGGCAGGTTTGGTCGCGAACATTAAATATCCACTTGGTTAGAGTTAAGACGATATATCTTAACTACACTTGCCTGAAGAATTCTGACCTACAATATTATCTTGCGAGGGTGCATATGCGACCTATGTTCTTTAGTAACTTGTCTAAAGAGTAACGTTAAATTACTCCCTTTTTTAAGTGTATGTGATCAAGAAAAAACAAGTTTAGAAAATTCACTATTTTCATGTTATATACCTTAAAAATATATATGTACAAATTATCAATATAAGAAATTCAAAATGTATATCCGTTTTTAATGACTGATTTATAATAACTCGGAAAAAAAGAGGCCTACTCTAACTCAATAAAAATCAAGGAAGCTTACAACTTGCATGAGTGAAACAATGTATCTAATAAAATCTGAGTGAATTAAAGAAATTTTCTTAGGGATATCAACAGACCAGTGCCTGATTCGTGTTTATAAAATAACACACTGCGTGGTTTGTATAATAGGTTACTTCAGTACCTTCAACATGATTTGCCATATAAAAACAAGAGTCAACTCTTGTCTGAGTTTATTATATATACCATAGAGAATAATTAGGAGTACAAGCAGGAATATCTATAATACACGTGAATATTTTTTACTTGTTACATTTTGGCACGTCATAACAATCACTTTCCAGTTCTGTAAGCACTCTACATTATACGTGTTTGGTAATCTTACTATTTAAAGTATTACAAAATACAAAGGTTAGGTGATTGTCAAGGGACTATAAAAGCAAACAGGGAAACAAACTTTCAACAAATGAGTTCTCCTTATACAGCAGTATTAAGCAACATGAAAATCAGGCATGTCTGAAAATAACAGGAGGAATTGTTAATGATTATTAATGTTTTTCAACAGTCTAACAATACTCTGATCTAACTATACCTCCTGTCAACCATTATGATGGAAGCCCATCTTTTAACTGGCAAACAGTGAGACAGTCACAAAGACCATCAAGCCATCTAAACACTGCATCTATACAGCAAAATTACTGGTGCTGTATAAAAATACTAGGCAAGGACAAAACTAGTAAAAATAAAAAGTATCTTCATACACTTAATTATCATGTTCATCATATCATTCCCTGAACAACTACACTGTTATGATTAAACTTAACATCTGAACATTTGTAAGAAGTTTAGCAGTATGCTATTTTCTGAACATTTTTGTAATCCCTCTACAGTTTTAGAAAATAAAATATAGCATTCAAATTCAACATACAAGTAATGTTTCAACTAAACATTTGTCACAACTAAATTACAATTTTATGAAGCTGTGTAATGAAACACTATATTGCTATTTTCATCACATTTTATTTAAATTGCTTCGAAACTGTTAAATAAAAGAACACCTCGAGATTTGTAATTACTCATCACAGCTATGAGGTATGTAGCCATTTTAATATTGTACTAGCATACCATGTTTTCTAAAACATGCCCAAGACATGCTGATTTCAGCATGAAAATAGGTATATTATACAGATGGGAAATACCAGCATCTGGTAGTCATCTCTTCAGGGTATGTGCGTTATGAAGAGGCAACCACAGTCTGATGTTAAAAAAAATTTGAATTCTTAATATCATCAGTTAAAATAAAATGTTTAAGGATTGCACTCCTTTTGTACACAGTAAACGTTATGAAAACAAACTCCAACATATTTTTGAATTGAACATCTTTAGCTGAAATTACAATAATAATTTAATGAACACAACTAATAGGCAATTGCCTGAAAGCACTAAGTACTCCATACAAACCAGGTTTTCTCCACTAGTCTTGTTACTGAGGAGACTTAAATTTTGTCTCCCTGGTTATCAAATTGAAATTCACCAATACTCTACATGTTTGCTTGTAGATTTTCACCTTCCTTTCCATACAAACACACAGATTAACAATAAATCCCCAAAACAATTTTAAATACATGTTTGATTTAATTTTCAAATTGATGTTAGTAGTTTCATTTTAGGCTTTTTTTTCAGCTGAGTATTCTGAAAAGATCACTAAAAACAAGGTAGAGAAAAAATACAGAAACAATTTGATTTGGAATTACTTTAAATTGGTACAACCTACAATCACGAGATCAATAAAATAAATGTAAATGTCACATCATTCATGTAGTTCTAAAAGCAGTGGTATTTACACTAATATTGTAACTAGGGATGCTGGTCTTATTATTATATCATTTACTTGACAATAGCATCAGATTTCTGCTGAAGACCTGATTGCCATATACTATGATGGAAATATGCACAAATGAGAAATAAATCGCTTCAACTTTTAGGGAGTAGCTGCAGTGTCAACTTTTAAAAGCCAACTTGTAATGGTTGATAACTACCTAACACTTGATTTTCACTAGTTTAACATAGAAACAACTTTTATAATGGAAATAATTATATGAAATTAAACCCAAAAATTTAATTTGGTATAGGAAATAAACTTAAAATGGGTTGATTTGCACTTTTAGAGCATCAGGAAGCTCTTATATATATATATACAATGTTCTTTGCAGGTACGATCAAATGGAAGGCATGCAGAACACACACAAGAAATCACAAATGTCTCAAATACAGGAAAAATGACTGTTGGGCAATGAAGCTAGCCTTCATAATACAAACATTTAAAATATTTTTTTGTCTTTTTTTTTATATATATTTTGAGATTATAATTAACAACATCTGGTGTTATCTTAAATCTACCACACAATTACGTTTGGTCCTTGAACATTTTATGGCAAAAACAAATCATCTCCAAGTGTGAGTTGAGAAGCGAGAGCACTTAACTCTTTCCACATAATATGACTGAAAGAAACTACCAAGCTGAGAAAACATTTTTCTCATGTTTAACACAGCTCAAAACAATACATCTAAGGAACACTACCTTTACAATTAAATCTAAACACTTAACTAAACCTACTCCATCACCAACATTACACTTAAACACAATAATGAATTATCAATTGTTCACTGTCAACACAGAAGAAGTTTCACAGCAAGATTTTAGTCTGCAATAACACTAAATATGTCAAATTTTTAACACATCTCCCTGCATCATCATCATCCTCATCACTACAGTCTCATTTGAACACAATTCAAAGAGAAACAAACCCTGTTGTCATGGAAACCAACCCTTAGCTAAAATATCACAAGTTGCACCTACTGTGGTAAGCATGCTCATGATCAGTTCAAACATCATTACATGTGAGCTGTGGAGTAATGCATATGAAGCATGTTTTGTACAAGCACAAAATGGCAGTAACTTATCTTAAAATTTCCACACAAACTTATGATTATTAAATCCAAAATATTATCAAAGCTTCTGAAAGATACAGGAACATTGAGTGGAATAGTTCTCCCACACCATACATCTAAAAACTAGCACCATGTATATTTACATGAGTGAACAATTACTACTTTGTGACTCTGACAATGGGAATTGGCAATTGTTTTTGTTTTATCTTTATATCCTTTGGATATGGAAGGGAGTGGACGGTTATATAACTACACACACCAACATACTGGTTGTTGATTCTGTGTTTCTGATCAAAGCCTGGTCACCCAGCTTGCATGCAGCAAAAAGACTGCAAAACCTGGCAAGGAATGCCTTACAAGAAGGTTTTTGCATTCTCAGGTCATGGGATGGATGTAAAAAAGGCTATCTTCATGAAGAAGCTGATGGGATTAATTAACATAAAATGGCACATTATCTTTGGTCATATTTGGTGCCATGAGTTTCTTCTAGTGTAGTAAATGGAGAGATTTTGAAGTTGTACTGATTTAGAATGATCTCTAAATTTGTGTGTTGTCACTTTGAAATGTAATAAAACCATGAACAGATACCTATTTCTCTTATAAGCTGAAGACATACAAAATACTTATTGATTACTTTTAGTAGAGCAATTAAGACCATGTCCCATGACTGAATGACACCATACTTGGTGTCTACCATACAAACAGAAAGTGAAACTATCTAAAGTTTGATATGTATTTTTTACACCACAGTAATGTACCAGACAAGACAAGTCTGTAATGTGACACTACCTTCACTAACACATTAAATTGTAATGGAAACATTGATTTGGACAACTCTGCCAAGTTACATTTACAAATGTATTGGTTATACATTATTATTTAAAATACAGAGCCTAAAAGTATTTGAATGACATCACCGGGACTTTCCATGTCCTGAAGAGCTATGCTGCTTTGTAAATGGTTAATGACTATTGAGGACAAAACAGCTGCAAAGTAATGTTCAATTAAAGAAACTCCATATAAATTCAGACATTATCAAACAGTAAGAATGTTTTCCTGTTATAATTACTTCTGAAACGATCTTCTCTTGCTACCTGGCTAGACAAGAATAGTGTAAACATCTTATACATTTTTCAGATAACGAATTGAAAGAACTTTTCCACAATTTGTTTATATACAATATTTTTCCAACAATCAAATCTCAGAGAATAAGTTTCACCCACTTTCTGATGTACTTAGCCCTATTAAGTACGTTTACATTTCATATCAAATAAAATATAAACAAAAACCTGACCAAACTAAAAACTTGTCGCTACAAAATTTTATCAGCTATTACATTTATATATTAAAAATTCAGTATTCACAAACTTAAACAAGTTCCCTTTTAAGATTCCTTAGAGCATTTTGGAATGGGTTTTCAAAATTGTCTAGTTCTCAATTTCTTTTGTTAGTGCTTGTTAAATGAATAACAAATATCAAGAAACTGGTAAAATAAAAGCAAAAAAAACACCTCCCATCTCTATATATATGTTTCTTTTTTTAAACAGAGAAAAAGCCATCTAATTAGACAAGAACACTTGTACATTAAATGCTATTATACATTTTCTTCTAATATAGAAATGAAGCAACTTTATTCTTCCCACAAAATTGGAGCTTAAGAATCCATAAACACAGCATAAAATTGAGGTTCTAGTATGAGAATATGAAAAGTTTATAAAATAAAAAGCCACTGATGTTCACATGCATAAAAAAAATGTTTTGACTTACAAAAGAATGACTAATATAAACATGATTATTTCTGAATGTTACCTTAATAATTAATATGGCAGAAAATTTCAATTAAGGCTCTCTTTTGTTAATTCTGGCACTTAAAATACTGGAATACTTCTCTTCAGATACTTTATCTAATTCTTATATTTAAATTATTTCACAATACAGCTGAGCATATTTGTAAGGAAGTTTTGTGATGTCAAACAGTCAGAAACAATGAATTAAACATAGAGCTTAAAATATCACACACTAAGTATTAACTTTGCATTCCCACAACCCCAATAATGAAGATACACTTTGGAAGGACCCATAAAATGTCATCTCATATTTTAGAAAAAATGGTTATTTATCACACAGACTTCTAAGAAGCCTACTCTGTTAAGTTTAAAATTTATTTACAAACAATTGTTTTCAAACGACAAAAGAAAAAGGAAAAAAAAAATGAAATAACTAAAAATTAATTTCAGCTCATAACACTACCTTATTAAAATTCTGCAATTTATTCTTTATCAAGTAAGCATTTTGACCATGAACCCAGCCAGAAGTGAATCACTCAAAATTTGTTGTGACTGGACATAGTGACACCACTACTAGCTAAGATTATTGGTGGACAAGGTCACATGACCTCACTACCCAGTAAGTCCACAGGTAAGAAGCAATTCATTGCAACATTTTGATCTCGTTCATTCACAGACTGTGGAGTACTCCAGACACTACCACCACCACCACCGGAGCCTGAAAAAGACCACAACTGAGAAGGGCCATTTGGATGGTTTGCACCATTCCAGGTACTAGAATCACCTTTTTCAGATGAACTAACTCCACGATTACCCCCATATAGGAAAGGAGCATTTCCTCTAAAATTAGGACCAATGGTGTTGTTATTTGGTGACTGGTTACCTGACCATCCCATTCCACTGGCACCTGCCAGTTGTCCACCACCAGTGTGACACAAGTAGCTCTGCACTTCAGCCTCTGAGGGAATTTCTGAAAATATAGTGGTGTTGCCAAGGACACAATTGTTGAGAGCTGACTGAGCTTTGACAGCCTCCTCTCTGGTGGAGTACTTAACTAGTGTGATTCCCTGATTCAAGAGAAGATGAAACAGCAGAAGAGGTCCATGTTGCATACAAAGAGTTTTCAGGGTAGAACCATCAATCTGAAATGAAGAGGGTTCATAAAAATGTAACTAACAGTTTGTTTACATAAAGACTGAACAGAAAAATTTAATACTTGTAAAACAGAATCATTAGACACCAGTTGAATTAATTAATATGCTATTATTCCTGGCAAAACTGCAGATAAACAGTTAAAACCCTTATCTAAAATCTTAGGTAGAAACTTTATATCCTAGCTTTTTGCAAGTATTTACCATAAAAATTTTAAATATAGTAGCAAAGATTTGCATATGACATATTTGTGGTCAGTGTTATGTTACAAAAGAAGAAACAATTCATCACTAAAAGTCTTAAGTATATTTTGCAATAAATGATCTTCATACTTCAGGAATAATATACAGAAAGGCTAGTAGAACTTCATTAAAACAGATCTTTTTACTTTGGAAAAATAACTTCAAAATCTTATGTTTCAAAACATTTTGATATATTTTTCCAAGGGTGACATCTGACAAATATGCATCAAATCAATACATTTTTTGTGAAGTGAAAACCTGATAAAAATGGCTACTCACCACATCCTTGGTCACAAGCAATTCATTAGTCTTTATCCAGGTTCCCAAAGTTAATATTATTAAATTATTTATTACACTGCTACATAAGTTGCATGCATAGGAATAGTATCCATACAGGTCCAAAGACCTTGGGCCTGTGCTTATTTATGCTGATCAAATGAAGCAAATTGTGGTTAATTAACATCGTATATGCTAATAAGCCAACACAGATACTTAGGCCAAGCTATGCCACTGGCTGGAGCATTTTTTTCTTACAATGCAGGGAACCATTTTGCTACATCTATACTATAAACATAAGTAAATTTGCAATGATGCCATATATTATGTCCTCCACATACTTTCATTACAAAATATCTTTTTGAATTTAGAAGAATCTCAAGATTGGTCCAGTTGCCAAAAGAAAAAAACAACAACAAAAATCTTGCAAGTTCTCATACATGAATTACTTAAACAGTGTGTGAGGCACTCTATAAATAACCATCTTTTCAGTGAACATACCTATTAGGGGATCTAGTAATACAGTTTTCTTTAAAGCAAGTTTAATAAAACACCAACACAAAACTACAATTCTATAACTATTTGAAACTCTTGGAAGTTACACATTAAAAATGTACATGCATTGTTTCAAAAGCAAAATCAGACTACCAATTTTGTAAATAGCATATTTATATTATGTGTTATCATATCAAAGCTACAAATAAATGCCCCATGTAAAGAAATGCATTTTTAAATATTGTAACATGATAACCTACATTTAAAAACTTATTTACAGAATTGCTAGGTGAAACTCTTACTTGAAATGTTTCATACATTTTAATTTCTTTTGAAAAAAGTCTACAACATACATACAGAGGTCAGTTGCAGTAAGTTACACTATTTTAATATGGTTAATATTACATTATTAATAACGTGTCTAACAAAGATTTTTGTCACTGTTTGATTTCAATTCCATTTTAAGATGAGATTTTAAAAATAAAATGCAACAAATCTTTGAATGGTATACATTTCAATAAGAATAAAAAAGCTTTTTTTTTTTCATCTGACCATGCAACAGTCCTACAATAACAAAATGGAGACTTTATTCAAGATCACGTGAAGTTTTCACTGACTAGTTTATTGAGATCACTATGTTCAAGCTCCTGTGTGTTACAGAATATGATATATCCAAATAAAATAACAAGGATATGCTGAAGCATGAAAAGCTTTGGAAACTAGACTAAATATAACAAACTTTACACATACTTTCCAAGTACATATATATAAATATTAGTACCTGAGGTGTGAGATTTCGAAGCACTAGGAAGGAATTTTGTTTATCCCATGCTGAAATAAAAACAAAACACAAATGAATTTTAATAGAATCTTATAAATATTTTACTTGACGACTTGAATAAAATTTCATTATCATGTTTATTCATTTTTTAACTGCATATATTCAAACTTCAATTATGTTTGACGAATGTAAGCCACATGAAATGCATGTGCATATACACATTTAATAACAATAATTATTACAATAACTATGTCATTATGTTTTGTAGAATCCAGACACATATACTATACAATATCAGAATAATAATGTTTTGGGATAAATCTAAATGTTTAAAATACATCATAAATCACAAAAAATATTAGTTTGTTTAATGCATAATAAAAATGCTTAGAGATTTTAATATTTGGAAAGTCTTGAGAATTAAAATAAATTTCTTCTATATACCTGGATTTGAACCCCAACAACTACTTGTGCCTTTCCCTTGCCCAGGTAAACCAGGAGGAGGTCTCTGTATCTTTGATCCTGGTGCTCCCCAGACTTCTCCAGAAGATAGACCCCAACTTGATTTAGAGCCATTGTACTTGTTAAGAGCACTAATTGAATAGATGAAGACGTAATAAGACATACAGTACAATGTAGGTACTTAATAATGTATTTAAGTTACTATGTACCAATTCACTATTAACTTATGAAACATCATAAAATGATTGATACGTACACATTCATTAATTGTTACAAATATCTTCACCTACCTTACAAAATGCTAATATATATGTGGTCTGATGAAGAGATAAATATTACAATGAATACATAGCCTACATTTATATTTACTTCATACATTTTAACTAATAACTATTTGACAAACCATGAGAAAATGAAGTTATAATTCCTAACTAAGGTTATAAAGTAATTAAGTAATTTATTGACTATCCCTTCATCTAGGTCATTGATGTAAATCAACAAGAGCAAAGATTCTAAGACTGAGCTCCAAGGTACCCCACTTGTGACATTAATCCAGTTTGACTGAACTCCATTGAAACAACCCTCCACTTTCTTTCATTCAGCCATTCTCCTATCCAATTTGCTAACCTATCCTGCACACCTAGAGATAATTTATTTAACAAGCATTTTATGTGGCGTCTTGTCAAATGCTTTATGAAAATCCAGATATATCAAATCTACACCCTTACCCTCATCTACATAAGCAGTAACCTTTTCAAAGAATGTTAAAAGATTTGTAAGGCAAAATTTTTCCTAAGTGACACCATGTTGACTATCCAATAAAATTCTAAACTTTGTTAAATGACTTTGCAAAGCATATTTTAAAAGACTTTCCGAAAC